AGGAGCTCCTCCATTGTGCATCATGTGGCAGGGCTCAGGGTGCATTGCAGCAGCTGGTCTGTGGTTTGCTTTTCTCCACACTTGCATGTCATGGATTCCACTTTGTAGCCACATTTCTGAAGGTTGGCTCTGCATCTCGTGGTGCCAGAGCGCAGTCTGTTCAGCGCCTTCCAAGTCGCCCAGTTTCTGTGTGCCCAGGGGGGAGTCTCTCATTTGGTATCAGCCATGGATCGAGGCTCTGCGTTTTAGTCTGCCACTTTTTGACTCTTGCTTGCTGAGGTATCCCTGTGAGTATCTCTGTAGATCTTAGTAAGCTATTTCTTGATTTAAGACATTTCTTTGCTGGCTGATATCCAAACAGAGGATGGGCCAGAGATGTCCCTGCTTTGAATCATAGAGTTGGAAGAGACCTCATGGGCCATCCAGTCCAACCCCATTCTGCCAAGAAGCAGGAAAATTGCATTCAAAGCATCCCCGACAGATGGTCATCCAGCCTCTGTTTAAGCCTCCAAAGAAGGAGCCTCCACCACACTCCGGGGCAGAGAGTTCCACTGCTGAACAGCTCTCACAGTCAGGAAGTTCTTCCTCATGTTCAGATGGAATCTCCTTTCTTGTAGTTTGAAGCCATTGTTCCATTGCGTCCTAGTCTCCAGGGCAGCAAAAACAAGCTTGCTCCCTCCTCCCTGTGGCTTCCTCTCACATATTTATACATGGACGCCATCATGTCTCCTCTCATCCTTCTCTTCTTCAAGCCAAACATGAACAACTCTTTAAGCTGCTCCTCATAGGGCTTGTTCTCCAGACCCTTGATCATTTTAGTCACCCTCCTCTGGACACATTCCAGCTTGTCAATATCTCTCTTCAACTGTGGTGCCCAGAAATGGACCAATTGGTCTAACCAAGGCAGAATAGAGCATGGGGAGCAGGACTTCCATTGATCTAGACACTAGACTCCTATTGATGCAGGCCAACATCCCATTGGCTTTTTTTTTTTGCCGCTGTATCACATTGCTGGCTCATGTTTAACTTGTTGTCCACAAGGACCCCAAGATCTTTTTTACATGTACTGCTCTCGAGCCACACGTCCCCCATCCTGTATCTTTGAATTTATTTTTGACAGAAGTCAAACTTGAAAGCTCTTATTTACCCAGGGTCCCCCTTCTTCTTTTCTGATCTCTTTCCCCCTTCTAACAATTAAACATCACTTGGCTGTGTTCTTGAGAAACTCTAAAACAATTCAAGCTGTCACGGTGATTTAAGGATGAAGACATGTCAAGATGTGACCACGTAAACATGTGCCATGCCAAATGCTACATTTCTGAAGGATGAGGGTCCAATATGCCCCTCTCTTCTGATAGGAGGTCCTGATTTATAAAGACTGCATATAGATAAAAAATTTACAAATGCTTTGCCTTCACCTCAGTACTCATAGTACAAAGCCTGACTTCTATTTGCATGCAAGCTTCTATGCCAACATAAATGTAATCTGAACCATTTAAAGTCTGCTTTCATACTTGCCAGCATGGTGTAAAGGACCCAGAGCGTAAATGAAATTCAAGGGAGAAAGAGCAACTATAATGTCCAATGTAAGGTACAATGTCCCTTTCATAGGAACCTGCATGTCAGAAGCATTTGAATTAAAATTACCATATTGAATTCAAATCTAATTAAAAAAAATATTTGGTGTGCATTGGAAGAGGGGTGGTCTTATACGGCGAGTATATCCCAAACTCTATATTTTAACTGGAAAATTTGGGGGTCGTCTTATACTCCCAGTCGTCTTATATGCCGGAATATACAGTAGTTAATTTAGCCTCCCCACACTTTAAGGTGGTACCTAATTTTCCTATTTGACAGATGCAACTGTCTTTCGGGTTGCAAGTGGTTTGATCAGAGGAAGAACTTTGTATTAGGTCATCAAATATTTGGTTCCAGTATATAAATTTGCAAAATGACAGAGACCAAGTGTTAGCTATTCCCAAGGTGGTCACATTGTTCTTATTTTCTCTATATATTTTTGCATTTTTATGTAGAAGAAATAGAGGAAGAGGAAGAGAACTGCAAAGTATGATGAAAAGTATGCTGGGTAGGAAGAAATGCAGGAAGGCGGGGTTATGAAGACATACGAAAGTCTGATCTTGGGACCATGCACTGGCAAACAAGTGCAATTGCACTACTAAAGAGAGGTGCAATATCAAAAGTACTCAGCACAGTTTGTATCAATTGCCTAAGCTAACACAACTGTTGTGGAATAATGCATTTGGTATGATGAAGTCATCAGAGTTGGTGTGGGCCATGTATTATCAAAGGGTACTGTTCCACTACATAGAATACAAAACAATCAGAGAGATTTTCAGAATCTTGTCTTGTAGGTGTAAATACTTTGCTCTCACGTATCTCACTTTCTAGCATTTTGTAAAAAATGATTCGTGCATCATAGCCCAGTCTTTTCTCTCCCCAACTGGTTTTGTAGAATGCAAACAAACTAAGGAGGAAGGAAAGAGAAAAGTACAAAGCTTCAAGCTACTATTGTCAGTCACTGCATTTTTCAACAACTTTATTTCTAGAAACCAAGTGATCGCTTCAGCAAATCATTCAGCTACATGAATAACTGTGGAACATTTTCACAATGTCCCAGACATGTTAAAAAGAAATTCATAGGCAGCAATCTGCAACTTGTTTTGTACAAAAATTGTTATCCACTTTATCATCATTGACAAAATTGCTTTTCAAATATTGTACAGCCTGGGCATGTTAAATACACTCTAATGAGTTCAAAAATGTGTTAATTCTATGGCTAGCTTGGAATCAAGCTTGTCTCCTTTCTTCAAAGGAAAATAGGATTATCAAGTGCACTAGGAGAATTTTCTTTGTGTGATTGATGGGAAGGAAGAGTAATCACCTTTGAAGTGCCACTGCATATAATACCACTCTAGTGTTCTCCTTTCTTCCCTTCTTTCTGACATCCATGAGTAATTGAAGGAAAAGGAACAGCTTACTATGATCAATGAAGCCCTGACGACAGCTCCATCTCAAAATATCTACCAAATACTATAGGATGACAGGAACATCATCTTTAGAACTTTGTGGCTGGTAACAAGGCAAAATGTACGTTGAATTGATGTAAGAAGAGGCATGCTGGATCAAACTGAAAGACTTCTTAGTCCAAGGTTCCCTTTAGAGAGACTCACTGAATGAATCATAGAATCATAGAGTTGGCAGAGACCTCATGCGCCATCCAGTCCAACCCCCTGCCAAGAAGCAGGAAAATTGCATTTAAAGCACCCCCGACAGATGGCCACCCAGACTCTGTTTAAAAGCCTCCAAAGAAGGCGCTTCCACCATACTCCAGGGCAGAGAGTTCCACTGCCAAACAGCTTTCACAGTCAGGAAGTTCTTCCTCATGTTTAGATGAAATCTCCTTTCTTGTAGTTTGAAACTATCGTTCCGCATCCTAGTCTCCAGGGCAGCAGAAAACAAGCTTTCTCCCTCCTCCCTATGACTTCCTCTCACATACTTATATATGGCTATCATGTCTCCTCTTAGCCTTCTCTTCTTTAGGCTAAACATGACCAGCTCTTTAAGCCACTCCTCATAAGGCTTGTTCTCCAGACCCTTGATCATTTTAGTAGCCCTCCTCTGGACATATTCCAGCTTGTCAACATCTCTCTTCAATTGTGGTGCCCGGAATTGGACACAATATTCCAGGTGTGGTCAAACCAAGGCAGAATAGAGGAGTAGCATGATTTCCCTGGATCTGGACACTATTGATGCAGGCCAAAATCCCATTGACTTCTTTTGCTGCCACATCACATTGTTAGCTGATGTTTATCTTGTTGTCCACGAGGACTCCAAGTTGTCTCCTTGTGTTGTCCATGCGTTCATGGAATGCAAGCATGAGGGCAACTGCCCCATTCATGTTTGTGAACAACTAATGTTGAGAGGAGGACTACCTCTCATGCTGGAGGGAAAATATATCCCTCATGTCTTTACTCCTGGTAGCCCTGTCTATGAATTTGTGAGCCAACAGGTGATCTAAGCTGCCATCTTGTGGCATAATAAATTCCACAGGCTAGACATTTGCTATGTAAAGGGCACATTGAGAGAAACACCAACATAGAAGTTCTCAAAAATAACTAAAAGGAGTAGGCATATGAATTATGTGTTGCTTTATACCCTGCTACACAGGATTTTCAACCATTTAAAATATAAGAACCGCATTATCAGATTATAACACTGATCTGTTTAGATCACAAGGCTCTATTATGCATGCATGCATATATCTATTATTGTATTTATACCCCACTTTTTCTTGGGTGGGATTCAAGGCAGCTCCCAGATTGAGGGCCCATCTACACTGGCAGCATACCACAGAATGTGTGAGAAGTCACTCTGTGGCATTAAAATAGCACACAAGACTCTTTTGCCCTCAACACAGGGTAAAGCTGCCAGTGTCTAACTTGGCTTTGCCCCACATTAGGAAAGGTTGGTGAATGCTCCGGCACTTCCCCAAAGCTCCAGAGATCCTCTGAATTTCAGGGTGGTGTGAACTGTACAAGGAGCCTGATAACACAAACTGGCTCAAATGGAAAGACCTGGAGGCTGGGTGGAGGAACTTTCAGGAGTTGGGCTTTTGGGGGATTGAACTGAGAAGTTGCCCACATTTGTTCATAACTTTGCTGTAGTGTATAGTAGTAACCTAGCATTAAATAAATTTCCAAGTGAATTTAATTGCTATTAATGTTCTACAATAACTGGAAGTTTTCAACAACTAGAAGAATCTCAAAAACAACACACAGAAACATCTCCAAAGCAAGGACATTCAATATGCAAATATTTCTGAGTTTATCTTGTTCAGCACCCCAGAATTCATCAACAGTCAGCACGATGGCTTTCTGTGTACTTGTGCAGTAACATCTTATAGGAGTGATGAATTAATACAGCATTAATAGGGATATAGCAAAGCAACAACATCTTTCCTATATTTTTTTTGCTGAAGTTGGCTTTTTTGTTTCTGTTTGTTGAAAAAAAGAGAAGATAATATTCCATTTTCTCCCCTTGATGACTTTCAGCTGGAGTGGTAGATTAATTTACCAAGCCAGGTCTGGCAAGCAAATAATACCTGCCATGCTAACTGTAGCACACCAGTACATCTCATGCAATTGACAATTAAAACAGGGTAAAAGTAAGGTTTCAATCAGCGTTCAAATCCCATTTATTGTCTCTCAGGTCCTAGGCAAGGAAATTGGAGGTGGCAGACCAAGGTGAAAATCTCAGCAGTGACAGCATCTCATGTCAGACGCCTGTCAAAATGTAATAAGGCCCCTGTGAAGAGAAATAAGAGATGCCAAAAGCACACCACAATAGAGATTTCCATTTCTCATATATCATGATTCATAAGTTACGGAATCTGTATATCACAGCGAGAACAAGGTGACAGCAACTTGTCATTGCTACCTGCCAGATGGAGACAACAACAGGTTACATGCTGAAGTCCTCATAGTGAACAAATATGAAGGGAAGCACTTAGCCATAAATAACAAAGGGAAAACAAATCTATATTGAAAAGTTTACTGCAGTGGTTCTCAAACTGTGGGTCCCCAGATGTTTTGGCCTTCAACTCCCAGAAATCTCAACAGCTGGTAAACTGGCTGGGATTTCTGGGAGTTGTAGGCCAAAACACCTGGGAACCCACAGTTTGAGTACCACTAGTTTAGTTTATAAGCTTGAATCCTTTATTCATATATTTGTTGCACAAATGATACCTGAGTTGGTGGGACACAAGAGAAACAGGAATATACACACATGCATGGCATTGAGATTATAGCTTTCATGTAATAGATACCTTTCTGATCAAAACCTTCTTCAGGTCTGTCTACATGACCACCTACATCTAGGGCTGGTCTGAAATATTGCTGCTTTGAATCAGCCACAAGTTCTGTGGATGTGTTTTTTACCTTTCCACTGTCAAACTACAGCATCAGTGGGAACAAGAACCTGATCATCCAGTCAGGCCAAATCTGGTTTGGACTCATTATATACTCATTCTTAAATTTTGCATTGTTGCTATGGCAGCAACCACAGAGCTCTGGAGAGCTTCTGGCTATTGCCAGGCACCAGCAAAGATGCCCATGCAATTGCTGGAGAATGCAGGGATAAGGGCAGGGGGAGGGGGTGACACAACAGGTAAGTGCCATTACCTTTTCCCCACACTGTGGAACACAGGATGGAAGCCATATGAATAGATGAAATAGTCTGAATTAAAAGTGACCCAGCTGTTTATCAAACCTGATGTTTGGGGCTGCTCTGGACCTAACTGAGAAGCTCTAGAACACTCCTCAACTTCTGCTAATACGGGCTAAAATCAGGTTAACTAGAAAGGGCAAGTGAAAACAGCAGGACTATGTAAGTGTGCGTGTAGGAAATAAACTATGTTTTAGCTATTTTAATGTAATGAACAAGTAATCCTAGAGGAAAAGAGAGAAAACCAAATGTGTTCCTTACTAATCTAATACTGCTACTGCAGAAGTACAACAAGCCATTTGATTTCATCCCTGTTCCTTTCTCTTCTGAGAAGCTGTTTTCTTCTCCATCTCTGTTTCATCTGTTTTCTGCTAGGGGACCAGCTGACTCCATTGTTACACTTCCTATTCTCCTGAAATCCTACTGTGCCTGCTAGTGGGGCAACATCTGCTACATACTCTCCAACTGTCCCAAACTGGCAGGGACACAGAGCATTTTGTTTGTCATGTAGAATGATGTATATAACTTTTATATGACCAGTTGATGTCTAGAAAGTTTGGCTTCTCTCTTGTTTGTTATGACCTCATCACACTCACCTAAAAAAACATACTATTTATTTATTTATTTATTTATTTATTTTATTTGCTGCATTTGTTGACCGCCGCTCTCAGCCCTAGGGCGACTCGCGGCGGTGTACAACATATAAAAGACAATTTACAATAAAGCAAAAACGGACACTTACTAGGACACTTTCACTTTGTCTTCCGGACAGAGTCCCATGCTGGCCATCACACAATGTCATGTGTCTTCCAGTGGAGGCCATGCCTCCTACCAGGGTGAAAGCATCATTGGAGGCTTCCCCCACAACATGAGAGGCTTCTCTTGTGCTGGTTCCAGTGGAGCCAGCATGGGTCCTCTGTGGAAGGGCAACTCTTTCCCTGTGTGATGGGTAAAGCGTTGCTGAGAAGGAGCTGCACGCATGGCTACAGATTTGCCCTGCTGCCCCTCTCTTTTCTCTTTGAACCCAGGCAAAGCAGGACACTTCTCATGGCTTTGTGATTAAGCCCAGAGTTTGATGGAGCTTTCCAAGCACATGTGCTTTGCAATCATTTCTTAGCTACCTTGGCAAATTATATAAGAATGTAGCGGATTATGCTTCTCTCTTCAGATTCTGGTCTGTTGCAGTTGAAGACACAAATGCATTTATTTCTTTAAATATAATTACTTTTTTCTAGGTCTAACTTTCTAAGTTTTCTTCACAACCCTGATTAATCCTTTGTTGTCCCACTTTTCAGCTGATTTTATAATTTCCTGGTTTCTGGGACTATGGAGATGTGGCCTGAAGCGAAAGGTCTCCCTCACTTCATGTCATTCAAGTTTTGCTAACACCTCCCCAAACAAAAATACAGTATGCCCACCATACCCATGGGATTGGTACCTGCACTTTCACCTACCCATATCCAACATGATGTGCTCTATTTTTTTTATCCTCCAAAGTAACTCAGTGTGAATTTCTGATAGAAGTCACTCATTTCAATAGGGTTCACTGTAATCCACAGTTTCCTGTTTTCATGCTCAGTTCAATAATGTATTCTCTATGGATATCATCCCCATGAACACCCAAAAACCCACACCACCACTAAATAATTCTATTTTCCTTAGCAATCCCACTCAAAATGGCAAAAGGAACATTGCTTCCTATTACAACTTTGATAAGGACTGGCAAGGAAACAGTCCTCATTTAAGTGGTAACAGGAAGCACTATGGTTTTTCTGTGGGGTTATGTGGCCAGTGGAGGGGATTGGCCTTTATCTCCACACACTTGTTGAAGAGTCTATGTTGAAAGGACTCTTATCCAACTTAAGGTTTAACTTATCCAGTCTATTCAATAGCACCATTATTGTGGCTGATTCTAGGAGTGTGCTTACCTAAAACCAGTCCCACTTAATTAAATATGTTTTATATTTCAGTATAATGGTGTAATCCTATGTCCCTGTGATGGAATTTTGTAGGGATTCTGTGAGTGATCCCTATAGAATCCAATGTATCTCACTAGATTCAATATTTATGTATTTATTTATTTATTTATTTATTTCATAAACTTGTACCCCGCCCTTCTCATTCATGAAGGGGGACTATTTGTGTGATTGAAGGGGGACTCAGGGTGGCTTCACAGCAAGCACCATTTGGTGCCTTCACAATAATAAAAACAATCAACAAATTCATTAAAATCAGAACATTAAATAAACAGTTGTTAAAACACGTCAGTTAAAATCAGAGTCTGGGTCAATTCATTGTCACTTTGAGTTGCTTATGTCTTCTTTTCACTAGCCGCTATTCAATGGTCAAATGTAAGGTACCACAACCAAGTCTTGAGTTTCCTTCTGAAGGACAGGAGGGAAGTGGCCAATCTGATATCTCTCGGGAGGGAATTCAACAGACGAGTGGCCACTGCTGAGAAGACACTGTCTCTCGTCCCCACCAATCGCGTTTGCCATGGCGGTGGGATCGAGAGCAGGGCCTCTCCCGGTGATCTTAAACTTTGTGATGGTTTGTAGCAGAAGATTTGTTCGGACAGGTAGTCTGGGCCAGAACCATTTAGGGCTTTAAAGGTTAAAACCAGCACGTTGAATTGTGCTCGGAAGGAGACTGGCAGCCAGTAGAGCTGGTGTAACAGAGGAGTTGTATGCTCCCTGTACGCCGCTCCGGTGAGCAACCTGGCTGCCGACTGTTGGACTAATTGAAGCTTCCAGGCAGTCTTCAAAGGCAGCCCCACTAGATAGTATTGCAGTAGTCTATTCAGGATGCAACAAAAGTGTGGACCACAATAGCCTTTAGAGAAGTGAACAAGTATTGTAACTTACCTTTGGTAAAACAGACTGTTCAGTCAAGTTGAGACAGCTTGTTGAGCACTTGTTAACCTTCATTTAATTTGTCATATCCAGTTTGGAAACTGGATATATAATAGAGTTGGAAGGGACTCCAGAAGCAATCTTGTCCAAATCCCTGGAAGTGCGGCAATTCTTGGGAGGTGGACATCCAAGTTTTGTTTATAAATCTCTGGTGAAGGAGAATCTACCACCTTATAAGGGAGTCTGTTCTGCTGAACATCTCTTACCATTAATAAATTCTTTCTAATATTGACTTGGAATCTCTTTCTTTTAACTTATAACTACTCATTGATTCTGGTGCTACCATTGAGCAGGTGAAGACCAATTTTCTACACCTTCCATCTGACAGCTTTAAATATTTACTACTTAAAATAACAACCATCCTATCACTTTTCAGCCTTCTCTTTTCCAAGTTAAACATATACATCTCTCACAACTACTGTCATTTCTCTTTGTGACGCTAAGCCAGGCATGAGAATTGTGCAGACCCACATTTTGTGACTCTTGAGCTCCCTCCCCACAAATCCCAATTTCTGCAAATTTTAACATTTTGGTGGATTTTGGGAATGTATTGTCAAAGGCTTTCATGACTGGAATCACTGGGTAGTTGTAGGATTTTTGGGTTATATGACCATGTTCTAGAAGCATTCTAGAACATGGCCATATAGCCCAAAAGACCTACAACAACCCAGATTTTGGGCATGTTCTCTCCCCCTCCCCCCCCCCCGGCCTCCCAAAAAAAGCCTATCACACTCATGAAATATTGTCAGATACCTTCACAGTTACCCCATAATACAATAATATTTCCAAATACTTCTACTTTCCTTTCAAAAAAATGGCAGGTGAGACAAAATCACTTTTGGCCGACATTTTGAGATAGATAAGATATTTGAGCTTTCTATGCGATGCGGTGACCATTGGCAATTTGATGAACTATCCTCTGGATGCCCAGCAGCTGTCTGTCCCTTTACACATTCACAGCAAGTAGAAGAGGACCGTTGACTGATCCATAGCCAATGTTTTTAAACTTTGAAAACCTAAACTTTACAGTAGGGCCTAATGCAATTTGGCTATCCAGAAATGCATCTCATTTTGCAATTCATGCGAACTGTGCAACTTACACAATTTGCATCAAAATCATTGACACAAAAGCAAAAACCAAAAATCTCAAGACCAATGGGAAATATCTTA